AGTCGTTAAATGACTGTTTTCTTGTAGTGACTTCGTGTGTAGGAGTGTAGGGAATTGTTTTGGGGGATATCATGGATTCGCGAAAGGCCTTGACGGAGTCGTAGATCCATGCATAGCATTATAGGTTCTCTGTTGCATGTGTTGTTAGAGTCTTTGTCGATGGATTGTTAGTATATTGTGTTTGTTGTGTGGAAATTGCTACTTATGTGTTCGTTCTCGATATGAAAATCATTACATTGTGGTGGGGTAGGTAATCGGTAGAATTATATTAGTTTCGGGTTCACTAAGTAATGCTAGATTACTTATGTTGCAAGAAAACATGCATTTACCGACTATATCTAGCGACTAAACATTTAGTCGCCACCAATGGCTACTATCTTCCGACATGTTAACGTCTGTCATACGACTAATGAAATATAGTTGTATATTAGTTGTAACGTAGCGACTAAAAGTAAAAGACGTAAATGTAGTCGGTAGACAACGACTATACAGCGACTAAATTGAAAATAGTCGCACATTTAGCGACTAACTGTACGAGCTGATGCAGCCCGAGCTATGGTTGAGCAAGCCAAAGCTGTAGCTGAGCAAGCCCGAGCTGTGGCTGAGCAGCAGGACAAGCTCGGACCCTTGACCATGTTAGAGAAGTATCTACGAGGAAAGGATCCGGAGTACCTTTCTTTCCTCGCTAGTAATTTAGCTAAAGCGCCAGCAACAGAAACTCTCGCAACATCTCTTCCTCAACAGAATCCAACTTCAAATCCATCTCCACCTGCTTCATAAGTTTCTCTTCTTATTAACTCAATGTCACTTTCAGAATTATGTGTATGTTTGTTTTTCTTTAACCTTTAGACTGTGTGTAAGATACTTGAATGTTTAATCAATTTTATTTCGGTTTCATTTTCTTCTTTATGTATTGGTTTTTTGTTTTGGTTTTGGTTTTGGGTTTCTGGTCTATTTGAATCAATTTCCGAAATAAACTGCTTTTTGTATATACTTTTAGTCACCAAATAGTCGTCTGATTAGTCACCATGTAACCACGACGTTAGTCGCTGTTTAGTCGCTTAATATAGTCGTCAAATAGTCACTAACATCTCACGACTAAGCACTGACTAAAACAAGGATGACCATTTATGTGGGTTAGTTAATCGTAAATTAGTCGCTTATTAGTCATGTATATGTATGACTAACTAACGACAATGTTACGACTAAATCACTCTTAGGCACTATAGTCGTAAATTTAGTCGTTAATTAGCGACTAATGTTACG